AGTTCTCTCTTTTCTATACCTCAAAGCTAATTAAACAAGTGACAATATATATTTTATCATTGTTATTTTAAAAGACAAATTTATTGGCTATCCCTTTTTTTGGTTTTTGTTTTTTTTTTTTTTTTAATTGCAGCGAGAATATGTATATGCAGTATTTCCAGGTTTTAGGACACAGTTTTGAAGACATGCTTTCCTGAGAAAAAAAAGAGAAGTTGATTTTTAATGCCCAACCATCATCATCTAGTGCCATTTAGATGCTTTATGACATATGCTTCATCCATGTGGGGTTGGTAGATATGACGCAAGACTTTTGGGAGGCTGCTTCATTTTTAAATGTGTGCTGGAAGACAGCTTGAATGCATACTCTCAGTTTCATACTTTAAAAATGTGGTCCTCCCATGCTTTCAGACCTTTTCAACTAAGAACAAAATAAACAGCATGGAAAATGGTCATTCTTGTTTTTATGACCAAAGGGGCATCACATGCTACTCGGAGGAGGTGCGAGGTAGGGCTAGTTAGCTATGGGCATCCTCCTGATTGACGTGGGTGATGACAGTTTTCACCACAATAACTGCAGAGACCGCGCTGGTGCATTTTATGCTGATGTGTTTTCTGTGAGAGCATTTGCTGGACCAAGGGAGGAAAGCCAAGCCAGAGCTGTATTCGGCACAGTGCTGTCATGTGCATGGTCAAATTTCCAGAAATACAGCAATTTCTCTGTTCAGCAAACGTTATGTGGCTGATCATTATTTTCTTCCTTGTATTCACAATAGTACATGGACACTATCATGATTGTCAGCATTTACCATCTGTGGGGAAAAAAAACATCAAATACCTGAATCATTAGTTATTATAATTGTAATTTGTAATGATTTCTGTCATATTTGCAGTTCAGAACTCTTGCTCCAGGTTTCAATTTCTTATTACATGATATAAGGCTATCAATCATAGTATTTATATACTGCTTTTCTGGACGAAAGTCTTGGGACTGTAATATTATTAACATTTATAACAATTATCATTTATGACAATTTCTGCGACAGATAAATATGAATTTATATTGACTGCATGAGTAGCAACCTGGGAGAATGAGGCTTTCGTAGCTAAATTCTAAAACAAATTCTCCAATTCCTGTGTCTTTTCCTAACCTGCTGACGTTGATAACCATTAAAACATTTTTTGTATGGATTATTATTTGTCATATTTTGTATGGGTATTCTCTGTCCTTTTATGCTCATTTTTGCTTGAAACAGCACACTGGTACTTAATGTAGACACCTGCTATGATTCATCAGTTTACTCTGTCAAGAAAAGAATAAAGACTAAGTAATTCATATTACTTTAAAAATATATATGCTATAATTAACAAAACATAAGCAAAAAGCTTCATGTGATACTCCCTAAGAAATTATCTATATTTTAAAATAACTTCAAATAAAAATACAGAGACCATCTCATTTAACTTCACTGATTTGCAAACAATCTGTAGGCACTGTGTTACATCCTACACATTAATTTGGTCTTTTAAAATATTCATAGGTCTAAATTAAGTATTTGAAATAATTTACATTTTGAGTCTTAATATGAATATTAAAATCCCAAGGCAACTCAGAACTTGCATATTTAAAGATGTTTTAAATTTACTGATAACTTCTTAAAAGTATGGTAATCTGTTGAGTTAGAGCTTGGAACTTAAAACATAAACAAACTGTTTAATAATATGACCTATATTTTAGAAGAAAAATTATGGATAGATGGTTGGTTGGCTTATAGATTAATCCTACGAATGTCTGTCTTTCCCAGTTAGAATGACAAAGAAGTTCTGCATCTGTCTTAACTATTGTCTGCATTGAATTAAAAAAAGGAAAATATTTATTGTATTTTACTTAAGTTTTAAATTCATATTGCTAGCTGAAAATGGGGGGGGAATCACTACATGGGCTTCACCAAGGTCCACTGAAAACAGGAAAGACAGGTCAAGCTATATGGACCAGTTATGGTACCAAATACAAGTGCACCACAGACCACTTTTGTTAAAAATGTCTGCTTTAGCTACCCAGTTCCAAATAATCTCATAGACCAAGCAGATTTTGGGTTCTCTACAGAACATATCAGCTTAGGTTCAAAACTAGTTTTGGCAATCTCAGCATGAAAATATTTTAAATTTGACACTCAAATGCCTCGAACTTTTGCTGTAGGACAGAACGCAGAGCACTGACAGAAAGGTGGCTGTGAGTTTTGAAAAAGATGCTGAAAATAATGAGGAAATTATTTATGTGCACCTTATCCACATGCCAGCATAATTCAACGTGATTTGGTTGCATAGACATCATGTCAGAAACTTCTCAGCAATATCTACCATGCAGCATTTGTTTTGTTGCTAATGCTGGAAAACTTTGTAACAAATCCACAGGGCAAATTCTGACAAACTAGATGAGATTAAGGTGACAATTCATTTCCCTCAGTGATAGGCAGATGAGTTTTTAGACTGCAACACCTTTCATGAAGATGGATAAGAAGATGTGGCAATTATCTATTTATTAAACTTAGTAAATATGCATATCCATGACTTCTGAAATTAATTTCAGCCTTTTCAGTTTATTCCATAGTTCTACAGCTATTTGTTGTGAGTCTAAAAGGTTAAAGTAAACTTCACCCCAGAGGAATATACTATAGTGTAGTTTGGCTGACTTCCACCTACAGTTACAGAAATGCTGAGGACAAGTTAAGAGATTAATAAATATTTTTTCTGAGCATACCCGGGTGCCGTTCGTGGCATTGCAATCCCAGGTTCAAAAATAGTATGCAGTACAGTGAGACAGCATCAGGTTTGGCACCCTTTGCCCAAACCATCCTCCAATGCTATTCCAGTAGGCTTTGAACCCTTTTCTTCCCCTCCATTAACCTTTAGGACTCACTGTGCCTACCTTAATTTCATTGCATTAAAACTTCATGATGTTGGGCCCCATAACAGCCTTCCCATTATCTCAGCCACTTTCAGTCAGGGTTGGATGCATTTGGCAGTACAGATGTGGGCATGGAGTCCGGCCTTGCAAACACGATGTGGCAATGAAGGTCAAGAACAGGGAAGGCAATGGAATTATAAGCAGCCCTACTTCACTTCTCCTTTCTCTACAACAGTTGCAATGTGGTCAGCCTCTGCTCCTCTCTCACCTTTCTCCCCTCCCCTTCAGCAGTGCAGGGATAATCGAGCCTTTCCCACAGCTGAGGCTCTGAAAAATTGGAGAGTCTATCTCTTGCTTAGTGCTATAATTTTGTCTCTGCAAGCAGGAAGCCTGCTGCTGTAGGAACAGACAGCTTTGAAGAACAACCTGCTTGCAAAGAAATGTCTTCTTAGACCAAGGCAGAAGTTCTTTCGGTCTTCCAGAAAAAAAAAAAAAAAAAAAAAAAAAAAAAAAAAAAGGTCTGCATATTTTGACCTTCCAAAAGTTAGATATCCCAGGATGGATTCAACAAAGATATGCCCTTTTGTTTTACTTTTTACCCAGAGATCTCATTCCTTGCATTCTTATAGTTTTTTATTAATCAGAATTTAGCAGAGGTCTTTGAAACACCTTACAAATGTTTTGTAATAAATCTGAGTGTGAAAAAGCATCTTGCTTTTTCATTATATCAGAATTACACATTTTGTTACCCTCACACTTGTTCTCTCAGTTCCATCTAAGATGCTTAACAGGGTGGCCTCTAGTTGCAAGTTTGAATAAAGCACAGATACAGCATGTGCTTATTTACTTATGTTCTAAACTTGAATGGACTGACAATGAAGTAATTACTGACAAATGAGCTCGGTATATCGGGACGTGGGCATGTTCTCTCAGCTAATGTGGTCCACATTACATGGTCGCAAATAGCAGGGAGTAATAGTGCTTGCAAATTATACTTCCCACTCTGGTTTGGGACAAGGAATTTGCAGCAATAGTGCCTTCCCAGAGAAAAACATTGATGCTGCAATCTTTATTCATTTGTTTCCAGGATCCTTTCACGAATCTCCAAGGGAATCACTAACAGACTGCAGAAATCAGCTGTCACTTTAAACGATCCTTCTTCCTCTTTCTCTCCTCCATAGGGACCAATGCAATGATTTCCATTAAAGACCAGCTTTTAGCTGCACTTTATATAAAATTCTCACTAAAAATAAATGGACAAAAATAAGGTTCATGAATATAAGTTCCTATTTGTTTCCTTCCCTTTTTTTTCATTGGATCAGGGGATGCCACATGAAGCAAGTCTTATTTCAATAACATGATTCAGCTTCTCTATTGAAACTTGACATCAGATTTTCAGAGATTTGAAACCTAAAATGTAAATATGTACCATCTTATGTGTGTGATTTCTGCATTTTCTGCATTATTAATCTGTTTCCCAGAGGAAGGTACAAGCTACCCTCCTGCTAAGTCATTAATGAAGTTCTGCTAACTAATATCAGAGGAAGTAGCTATGGGAATGGTGTCTTGTGAAGCTATAAAGATATACTCTGAAACATGCTCTGTTCCTAAGCTTTGGTGTTGGCATGAAACTCTTAAGTGCAACTCATTATCCAGCAAGGTAATTTTGACCCCGTGTCAGGGGTTAGATGGCTATGATGGGATACAGGTCTGTGCAGGTCTTCTAGATGGGTGTTGTGAGTCTTATCCTAAGAAGGGAGATGTGGGTTTGAACTTCCTGAGAGACCCCACAAATCTCCTACATTTTCTCACCCCAATTGATTACCTAAAAGCTGCCTCCCACATGTTCTGCTTCTAACTGCTGATGCAGTGATTATTTATTCCAGAAGGAAAAAAAAAAAAAAAAAAAAAAAAAAAAAAAAAAGGTCTGGAAAAGGGGTGGGGAGGGTGAGAGCAGAAACCTGTTTAGTGAAACAGATAATCAGCCATCCAAAAAATAAAGAGAACAGTAAATGAAAAATCCTCAACAAAAAACACCGGTCTCTCTTCCCAAATAACAAATGTGGGTTCAAACTGTGTTAGAGTTTAAACATACCTGTGATGTCTACGTATCTCTTTGCACTCCACTGCCATCCCAAATATTGTAGCACTTGCAGGAATAACTCTGCCATAGTCTCCAGTACTGACATCTTGATTTTTAGGCTGTGAAAACATGAACAACATGCAATGAGACAATGACCTATTTCTACCATTACTACAAAGCCTAGGTTACATATTAATGAGCTATTCAAGATTAGAGTCAAAACATCAGTAAGTTCTTAGTGACAAGTAACGTTTCTGGTCTTTGTCATTCCAGCTGACCATTGAAGGAGTTTCTTAAATACTGTGTTTCAATATATTCATGCTTCAGCTTTACTTTTCAGTCTACTACTTCCTCTGTGTAATTCTAAAAGTGTTTTTTAATTTGTATTCTGTTAGAATATATTGAAACATTTGAGGACCTTTCCTTTATGCATCATTCCTGTACTTAACACTAGATGTCATCAGTTTCAGTTCAATACAATACAAAAGCTTTCAGACAGATAAGACTTTTTTTTTTTTTTTAAAGTAGTTGGAATCAAGACAACATCAAAATAAAAGTTCTTCTATTTCATAAGACCTAACAGAGGTTAACCCATGTAAGACTCCTTGTCATATTACTCTGCTTAATTTATGCTAGCTAATATGCAAAATACACAAAGTAAAATCTGACACCCAGTGGAATTGTTCAGTCTTCCAAAAAAGTTCAAAGTTAGCAAAAGTAAATTAAGAACATAAGGATATGGCATATTTACCAAATTATAATTGATTATTCCCTAGTGTTATGATGAGAAATAATTCTACCATAATTCAGCATTTTCTGCTTAGACTGACATGACTTTCTGCTACTAGTTGGTATCTCAAAATGACCAGGTTGTAATCAAGCTTGCAGGAAAATAGTGCCTTTAAAATACACACAAACCCCTTTGGTACTACTTTCAAAGTGGGGGAAAAAAAGAGGGGGGTGGGGGGAAGGAATAAACAGTGATCAAGAGTGAACCATCTCTGTATGATGGAAGGTTACATCAGGGAAACATGCATTACAAGTACCTGCCTACTCAGAACATAAGCTCACAGAAGTACAACGTACGCAGCTGCCTCATCGCCTTTCACCAAAATCAAATTCATAGAACAAACCCAGATCACTAATTTTTAAAATATCAATAGCTATGAAATATTTACAAGACAGTTGTTCCTCATTCACGTCTGTGAATGTGTGCACTTGCGTGCACACACACACACACATATATGCACAAATATATATCAAAATAGGAATCCCTTTACACATACGTACTCACATCACCTACCTTTGGTTCTAAAAGTAGATGTTCCCAAGCATGTATCAAGCTCTCCACAATTCCTTCTCCAAATAAACCAGCATCAACTGTTTCTGTGACAACCAACGAAACTCTAGATAAGAAAAAGAACACCATTAAATATAATGCATAACACACATTCTTGTTAACAATCATTCTTTTAAAGAAAGAACCCCACCATACCAATGTGAGCTCAGAGCAGAACTTTTACCAGCGTTCTGAAGTTTCAATACAGATGGGCAATGTAATTCTTCCAACAAATGACATGTTTTGAATTGTTGTTAGGAGTTATTCAAGATGCAGATAAGAGCGAATAAATATTGAGCAAGAGTTTACCATAAAGCTTCTTGTTCAGCATTTATAAATAAATTGCGTGGGAAGAATCTAGCCAAAACAGGAAGATGTTTCAGCCTGGGCACACAGCCAGTGATACTGCAGAATATGTATTTTGTTTGAGTCTTGTGCAAGAGTATGCATCCATGTATGTGTTAAAAAGGGAATTTAAAAAATCCCCTATAATCAAAGCACAATAAAATTACTACACAGACTAATGGACCCTAAAATCCTAAATCCTTTGGATTTAAACCAAAAACCATACAGCATTGTAAGACAAGACATTTCCAGAACAGTAACGATTTGTTCCTGACAGGTGACATCCAGTAACTCATCATATACACTAAGAGGACACATATGATCAGTTACTGTAGCTCAGCTGACACAATTAGACAAGGCTTGACTGGCATGCTAAACCATGGGAGCTTCATCATTTCAGATTATGAGCCTGTACCATCACCAGACATTTTATTACATGTTAGTAATTAAAAGTAAAATGGATTATTTCTTTCCCACAGTTAATCTGCATCCCTAGAAGCAGTGAGCTGAAGTGCTAAACTAGTCCTTCGCATACACCAAAAGAAACAAAAATCCCCTCAGATTTCTACCTGCTAAAAATTTACAGATCCTCCTGAAGAACGCCTGCTGAATGGGATAGTGAGCAGGGAGGAGCAGGGTAGCATAAAAAGCCTAGATCACATATACTGAAAGCTGTAATGCTGATCAAATTCTCATTTGCCAAGAGCAATTGCAAGCTGCTGATTTGCCCCAGTAGCTCTTACTATGCTTTAGAAGACATTACTTAATATTGGAAAAATGACCTACTTAATTTTCCAAAGCACACGGATCTCTGCTATACAGACAGGTGGTCAGATGTGTATATACGAACAAAAAGCTCAACACAAACACAAAAACCTGTTCTCACAGGACAAATTGCAACACCCTTCCACTGAATTTTACGCCAATATCTAAAGCCACACTCAAAGCCCTGTGGATCCCTCCCATGGCAGGGTGTTGGCGTTCACAGCTAGAGTCAGCCCAGCCACCGCCAGCCTTCCAGATACAACCAACCAGGAACCCATGCACATCACGTGGCACCCTCTCACCCCCAAACACAGCAGCACACTCCTTAGGGGACAGAGGGGAGGGGAGGGTTGGGTTTCCCTCACTTCCTGATCAGAAGAGGCAGATAATCTGCAATTTCTGATCTCTGACAAATACAGAAATGGACATGGAGTTGCAGGGGTGTGGTACGTCCCAGAAATAGTCTTCCTTTGCAGGCCCTATTACATATCTCCGTCCTATTCAGGGGCTGCAGAAGTGAGCCACAAGTTAAGAATAAAAGTGTGTTAAAATGACTTTTATGATGCAGTAATCTAATTTCTCTTTTGCTGTTGCTGCAATATAATTGCATATATCCCAAAGCTCCCACCGTCAAAAAATTAAACTCCTTAATTTATGACATTGTTGATCTACCATAGAAATTAGTACGATCTAAAGCACATGTTATCATTTCTGCATTGCCCTATAAAAACGTTCAAGAGAACCTTCTCACATTATGGGTAATATCACAGGCAAAGTTATCTCCTGTTTAGGTCACAGGGTATTTTCTATTTTCTTGAAATTAAGAGCAAATTAAAAATAATATCACAACAGAGCGCAACAACGTACCTTTCAGGTATGTGCTTTGGAATTTCTATATCAAGTGACTTCAGATGAAGAAGTTTGATCTCCCTTTCCATATTATTTGCTGCCACCACATCACAGGCAAGTTCATACATTGTTTTTGATAATTCACAGGCATAGACAAAGGATGCTCCTGCCTTTTTTGCAAACATACTGAAAAACAAGAATCATGGCTTTTCCCCTCCAGTTTAAATCATTTTAGGTAAAGCATGACAAGATACTGAGTTTTCTTAAGTTCTATTTCTGCATCTGCTTCGTATTTCTAAGAACACAGTTCAAGTCTAAAAATCACCATCAAGGGAACCAACATCTCATGTGAACACTGATATTGCACAAATCAATATCCCCTTGATATGCTATCACCAAGAAAAAAAAAAAATACAGGTAGCATAAGGATACTCCCCCAGCTATGCTAAACCAATTCTTTATACTCCACTCAATACTTAAAAACAGGACACATGACATTACAACTCCAAAACCAACAGGAGTAATTCAGTTTATACAGCAGTTACTGGCAAAAAAAGCATCTGCAACAAATAGTAATAAAAGGGTTCAAAAAGTACTACTAGACATTAGCCTCCAGACACATTGACTTCTGAAAGCTTTGTTTCCTTTCTTAAGTTTTGTCTCAATAAAGCCATGAAAGTAAACTATTTTTTTCACTAGCAACCAAATTTTTTTAGACAAGAAGTATGTTTCTATTAAGTTCATGCTAAATATGCACTTATGACACACCTCAAAATACCTGTTCCTGTTCCAATATCAAGGACAGATTTGCACCCTGAGAGGACAGCGTTCTCAATTGCTTTTAGGTAAGTAAGGTTCCTCTTGGTATCGTTGAGCATGATGAAGTGCCAGCGTTCCACAAGCCAGTTTGCAACACGGTAAAAATTTTCCTTTGCATCAGCAAAATCTGGGTTAAGCTTCACTGCTTTATGAAAATATCCAGCTGCTTCATCTCTAAAGCCCATCCTAATAGTAAAAATGACAAATAAATAGAAAGCATGCATTCAGCTGCCAAGTATGTGTAAATATCTGTGGGTCTGTAAAGAGGTCTTACATCAGTTAAAAGACAACGGCAATATGTTGCATTAGTTTGAAAGATTATCTTTAGAAACATTGATACTACCTTATGAAAAAGAATGATTTACAGCTCTACTTCAAATCACTTTAAAATGCAAAGGTAGTCCAAAAATACCATCGTGTGCACCAGTCTTCATCCACTGCTACATCCTTTGACAAACTAGAACAAGTTTTACAAGAACCTGCTGCAACAATATGACAGCAGCAACTCTGCAATCCAGTCTCACAGATTTTTCAGGTCAAGAGAATGCTACAAACCCCAAAAACACTTCACCGTATTTAACTGGAACATACTGTAAACCAACCAAATTTTGAGTTGCCAGCGCTTGCATTAAGTGGCAATTTTGAAACTAAATTGTGAACTGGAAGCAAGTTTTTATGATACCTATAGCATACTCTCAAATCAGACAGCACTGAAAAAACCCAAAACCTATGAAATGCAAGAAACATGCACACTTTAATATAATGCTGAGAGAATTGTTCCTTAAATAAACAAAGTAATCACAAAAAGCAAACCTAATGAAAACTATCTGGATCCATGACTTATGATTTCAATCTTAAAAATTCCAGTCTCGGAAGACCTTAGAATCCTGAGCAACAGCAAAGCATCATGTTTTGCACTGTTTGGAGAAAGCAGGAAAGGAATGCTTTACGCTAATAAATAAAAGCATAAGCTCAAACCATTTAAGAACAGCCCTACATAGTACAGTTTACACGACCAGCTTCTTCACTTCGAAGGTCTGTTATGTGTCACCTCAAGAAGGACCAGAATTAAAAGACAGTATTCAAAGGCAGTAGTTTTCAAGGATCTAACAGGAAAGAAACGAAGAACTTCAAAAATTGCAGGTTAACCACAACAATAGTTAACACAGTGACTGCACAATTTTGGTCTCTTTTGTTTAGTAATTCCTTAATAAATCGTTCGAAAATATTTGAAGGCTGTGCTTTTAAGTTTTTACCTTAGTAAAAGTGCTTTTACCTTTTTTTTTTTTTTTTACTTTTGCTGTGACTATCAACATTTATTTTGGCCTTGGCTACTCTATTTTAAGCTGACAAACAGATCTGCTGAAGTTCAACAGTACACACTACACAGCATTAAGCATAGGCTTGCATTTACTTCTTTCAAACACATTTTATGTGCTCTCCTGAATCAGGCCTTGTTTGTTAACAGACAATACTAAACGTGAACCTTACAAAAACTGAATATACATTACCACAAACCTGAAAAGATGTTCTCCCATACTATTACATATCACTTCATCGTTCGGATACAGTTCAAGTGCTTGCTCATAACAGTTAAACAGATCTTGAATCCGTGCCAGAGAATCTAGCTCTTCTGCCCATTTAAAGAGGCTAAACTGAAATGTTTCCTGGAAAATAAAACATATACCACTGAGTTGCTGGTAGCTACCAGAAGTAGGGAACTGGGCCCTGAAAACCTCTAGAGGTATCCTGACATGCACCTGAACACCCTCTTTTCCCTAAGCAGCAGCATACAATCGTTTGCTATCATCCCAAGTTAGTTGGCTCACTTGAAGAGGCAGAAATAAGCTCTCAGATATCCACACAGAGCATCATCACCCAGCAGTGGATAATAAGAGCCTGCATGTATATTAATGCATGCTATACTACAAGCTAATACTAATAAGGTCCTATTTTTATTAAACTCATTTGACACACACAGACCAAAAGAAAAGTGTGTCAATTCCCTTCCCACAGACATACAGAGCTTATTAAACAACTTACTGGCTGTCTCCATTATTACTGTCTTCTGCTTTTATTTTGAAGACTCAATAGGAAAATCAGTTACATACAACAAATCACAAGCACAAAATATGTCACAAAGCCTCAAAAGGAATACAGTAAATAAAATTGTTTCAAGCAATTCAAAGAGCACTTACTTTGACACTAGTTTTTAACTCGGGAGCTAGATTTAGTACTAGCAGATAGTGAGCATATGCAGTTCCAAAATCCTGGTCCTCCAGGCAATGCTGAGCACTCTGCAAAGACCTGGACACCAACTCCCGCCTGCCAGCTTCCTGACCACCTCTATGGTTACTATGAAATTTAGCATTGGAGTTGGGCATTCTGAAGGATGTAGATACTCACTCTTCCTAAAAAAACAAAAGGTTGCACACAAAGCTGACAGATCAAACAACATTTTAATTTTCACTGGCATTAGCAAAGACATCCTCCCTCCCCCCCAGATCCTAAGCATTCAAAAACATGCTCACCTTTATGCCACTGATAATTCCATCAACTTTAAAGTGAGCATTCACCATTCAAGCCAAGCGCGCATCACATTTATGTTAGAGCAGGTTCTGGAAACAGGTTACACTTTTTTGCTTTTTAAAATTAATTTCTGTAATACTTATTTTAGCACGCCTCTGACCAGTTTTGCGCACTGAAAAGTTCACGCACTCAGAAGTTTCACAATCAACCACAAAATCTGCACGTTAAAACTTCTCCACTTCAAAAAAGTATCTTCATAAAGCAAAGACCCCCAGAAAAAGAGCTAACGAGCTCACGCTGTATTTTACACAAAGCAACATGACTATAAGAAAGTGTTAAAGAGTTATCAGAACAAATATGCACATTTTTATAACTGCCTTGGTTACCACTTTAATGCCACATTTTTATAACTGCCTTGGTTACCACTTTAATGCTTACTTACACAAGAAGGCCCAATACCGTCTTCGGGATTTTCAGATGTATCCTAAAGCTGAAGAAAGTGAACGTTACATGGAGAGGGACTAGAACAAACACACCACCATCACAACTAGGCTTTTTTTTTTTTGCTTTTTGCTTAAAAAAAAAAATGACAACAAACATCGCCCACGTCTCGAATGAGCACCAGTAATTTACGCAGGGGCATGCAAAACCAGGGAGGGCCGCGCAAACTCGCC